TTGTCCAAAATAAAAGAATCTAGAAATTTAAAAATTGAAGTTTTTATACTTTGTTGTGAGAATCTTATATATGATTTTATACATATATGGAAAGACGTACATAAAATCATTAAATAGATACTTGAACAATTTAAAATTGAATTGTTGAAAAAAAGTCGACCATCAGGATTATTGTAGAGAACAAAAGAGTTTGTACTCACAAATTAGAGATATGCCAATGAAGAGATCATTAGTATGTTTGACTCCAATATTTTAGATGTTGGTTAAACATTTTAATACAGAATAAATGAAGGTAAGTATTTATGTCATTCAGTTACAATTCAATATAAAGCTTTGAAAAACCACTCAAGTTATATTTTGTTGTAAGACAATCATATATTATTTCAACAATAGGTTTTAAAAGTTCATTAACTTATAAGTTATTATTATTGAACTAGAATATATATGCATATGAAATTTAAGCTAAAGACTCACTAATCAAAGATATAAGGATTTTTCATATGATTATTATCACTAAGGATGTCTTAGATTAGTGGGAGCCACTTCTTCTTTATGTTTAATAATATTATTTTGATATGGATACAGAATTTATGTTAATATTATCTACAGAAATAATGTTTACAAGGTTATTTATGTTATAAACATTTATGTATCGTTTGTGCAAGTATTGAATTTGTAAGCTTTAGTTTGATCTCAATAAAGACTTCAGTTGGACCAGTTGAAAATATACATGATTTAGAGATCACATTGAATGAAATTTCCATGTCACTCATGCATATCGATCTATGTCATCAAGTACATTTATGTGGTGGTCGTTGGGATTTTGTCACGTTATACGTTGGGATTATGATATAATTATTAAAATATATTGGCCAAGTAGGAGATTGTTGGAGTATTTTAATAATATAGTCTTATATTAGTATTCCAATAATTATGTGGCCAAATATATTTATTTAATTATATTAGCTATTTTATAAAATAAAGTGTCTTAAATAATTATGTGATTAAATAATGTTAAAAGGATATTTAGATTTTATTTAGGGATTAATTAATTAATTAATTAATTAATTGGGTATAGACTCAAATATGAGTGGATGTCAGGATGATCCATTTGGGAATAATGGGGATCCTAATTGGCCATCATACTATATAAAGGCTATGGTCCCAAATATACCGTACACAAGCAAAATAATCTCTTCTTCCCATCTGAAGAGTGTTCCAGGCATTAGGAGTACCGGTTGAGGAAGATCCACAAGTCAACTAATGTCGGTCACTTGTCTCTACACTTTTGCGTTTCAGAATTACAGTTATCATTGCCAAAAGTTTTTTTTATCTTATGGATCCAGGTATTCCTGAAATCTCATATCTCGTATACTAAAATGTCGTAGATCCTATAATTTTATACATGTTCATAATTATTTATTATATTCCACACTAAAATATATGGTATAATATATAGAACATATATATGTGATTAATTGTTATTGAATTAATTCTAATATTACTATATCACAAGAAACAAATACCTTATTAATAACAATATTAGAGGTTGAACAATAAAGTAGGATATAATTGAACATAGTACAATTAATACTCTTGTACAATTTGGAATTAGTATACTCATTCATCAATCAATAAAAACATTATGCAAAATCTTAATTGAATGATAAAAATTTTTCACAATTATATCGAATAATACTCAATAAACCATATTGATCAACCTCCATTATAATTTTTCACAATTTTAGAAAGAGTGTCTTCACCGCCCTCAAAATCATTAGATAAAGAAAAGGGTGAGGTATGTCTATAATGATGATGATGTCTAGGGTGGTATCATCGAGACTCATATTTGGAGGGTTAGTGTCTCTAGGGTATTGAAGATCGTGTTGTGCACCTATTGTATGGTCGATGTTGGCAAGATGATTTGATAAGATCTTTATTGTAATACATTAACTTTCCACCGTCGATCTAAATTTGACCTCTCATGGGTCACTGAGGTTTTGGTGGTGCTTGGTGGACTAGGTCAGGTAGCTCAATTCTCTAGAGTTGTTCGTTATGTAGTTCTAAATTCGTTGTCTGTCTCTAGACAATCATTATCAAGCCCTTAAATAACATATTTTTTTCATTGTGTTTGGTATCTAACCGTATCCCTGGGGATTTGGAGGAGGAAGGAATTTCCTCGTCCAGAAAAGGGATCGTCGGAGGCAGGGCATTCTTGATATGCAAATAAGAAAACATAAGTGCCAGAGGTGGTGGGGGATTTCTGTTCCTAGTTAGGGAGATGGTGATGTGAGTCTATAGTTGGGTATGTAATTGATTTGAATGATTTTGCTAGCCACAAAGAGACGATGACAAGTGGAAGTCGATGTAATTGTTTTTCCTCGACTCACTACTTTGACGTGGTTGAAACGTTGATAATGTTCCCACTGACAACGCTAATGATCTTATAGAGCTTCAAGATACTCACAAATGGGTTGGTGTGTTTGGATCTGATAATGAACTCCAACTTATAATGCTATTGGTATGTCGCCGTTGGGTGTACCTTCAAATAGCATAACTTTCAAGTAATTAGATATCAGGGGTGAGAGATATCCTAGGGTTAGAAATGTATGTATCTTGATGTGATAATTTTTGCGACCTTTAATTCAATTCAATGACCATGCTTTAATTTTTCTTTAATTAGATGTCTTTCTAGGACATGTGCATCCCAGGTCTCACATGCCTATAGTGTACGTGTGTTAAAACTAAGAAGATGACATCATTGATCTGATGTCATTACTTAGTGATCATTTGATCTAACAATCCATAATCTCTTTGGTTATTGGGGTTTTTAGATCTCTCTTTATTGAGTTGGATCATAACTAGTTAGGTCTTACAATTGGAGCATAAGATAATCAATTCTACTTTAGATAAATTAGAGACCTTAAAATTAATTCAATACTTCTAAAATTGATTTTGACTTTTCCAAAATAAAAATCAAACATACTCTATATCAAAATTAAATTTACATGATCAATTAACTCAAAATTCTATAACCACACTAAGTAATTTAAAATTTTGGTTAATTGAATATTACCTTTATCATCACCAACATCGATACATGGTTTGTAACACTTTCTTTATGTCAAGAATTAGAGAGAATAGAACTAGTTGGAACAATAAATAGTTTGTTCAAAGAATGGCAAAATCTTTGACATTTAGATTTCATGCAAACAAAACTTTGGCCAGTTGACATTCTAGTTGCAATTGCAACCACTTCAAAAATGTGGACAAAACTATGGTCCGTAGATATTGAATCATTATTCAACCAATAATAACTTTAGAGAAAGAAAATTAATTAACATCACTAATCAATAACTAATTCAAAAGTACACACAATAAATTATTAATAGATACCAAACATACTATTTCCACAACATTACTAAAGAAACCATCCTAAACTTACACAAATTTTACAAACAAGTAAAACTAAATGTTTGCAAAAGAAATGAAATTGAAAGTAACCCTACTAAACACACAATACTAGATAAGCTCAAACCCTAAAACACCCTTAAGAACACCAACTAGTTGAAGGGGAGCAGTTAATTGAGGAAAATGTCCAATAGTGTCAATTTCCTCCAATGTAACTTTCCCTTTAATATTCTTCTCCATATAAAGTGCTACACTATATGGAACAGCCATGTCACTAGAGGTTTGAATTATTGTGCATGGAGTTTCAACTTTCTCAAGTATATCTCTATAGTCACTGCAAAACACTGTCTTGGCTAAGGACAATGAAACTTCATTTTTCACTCTTTTTAATGACTCTCTGAATTTGTTCACTGATGCTTCATCACTTGGATCCACTACATTTAAGGAGAAAGCAGAAATCCAGTTTTCATAGTTTGATTCTATGTTCTCTAATAAATTCTCAATATCTGACCTTGCAAATCCTCCCTCATAATCATCTGTATTTATATATCTGTATATCATATATGGATTAAAATTTTAATCATGCTATAATAAATTTGACATTTAGTGTGTTCAAAATATATTTCTATAAACATTAAACATATATAGTTTATTAAAAAAGTACATGTGATTATGTGATTTTTTTAATTATTAATTAATAAATATCAATTATTTATTTACATTAAAATATAAATATAAATTATATTATTAATATATTGAACTTTAAAGAAACAGTTTACAATTATTTAATTTAACCAGTATATATTAATTGAGTTAATCCAGTCACCCAATCATGTAAAATTTATTTGTTCTAAGAATATTATCTATAATGCACCAATAGTTTACATCTATATTTTTAATACCATAAAATTTCCTAGTTGTACCTAAAAGGTTCTTTTTGTTTGGTAAGAGACATAAATTATTATAAATATGTGGAAGAAATATGTTTGGATTTTATACAAGGAATTGACATGGCCGGCTAATTGGTGGTTCAAATTTCAAAAGAAAGAATCTTCCAATAAGATTATATCAAAAGTTTGTGACTTAAATAATAAAAGTGATTTTAATAAGTGGAGAAAGGAAAATGAAGTTTTGTTATTCTTTATTGGTTAGTTAGAAAGCAGTTTTTGAAAGTTTTGTGTAAACGAGTTAAAATTTAAGAAAGATAAAATGAATAGAGGTTTTATATAATCATAAATATTTTATAAAATTTTAATAGAAATTAAAAAGTAGATTGTTGCACGATCAAACTCGAGTTTTAGTATATTAATTTTTTTGTTATCCAAGTTGCATTTATGGAATCACTTTATACTTATTCTATATTTTTAAATGCTTTTTTATGGATGAGAGAAAGAGAACCAGCAGCATCGAAGTCACCCTTAAAAGGAATCATAACTTAGAACAAACATACAAAAATTAACACCCAATGCAATTGACACCATATAATTTTAAGAGAAATCTTATATCCTTTAATTATTGCAAAGATTAATTTTTCAAATCCAAAAAGAATATAATGGAAGATAAAAAAAATTAAAAGAATTTAACATTGCTGCATGTTTAATTTGACACCATATATTTTGGTTGTTTTCTTATTATTATTTTTGGATAAATTTTCTTTTATAATTATTGTTATTTAATTTGTCGGTTCTCTTAAAATATTTGAATAAAGAAAAAAAGTGTACATCAATTTAGTCTCCGAAATTACAAAAGATTTATTGTTTAAATTATTTTTATGTAAATATTTTCAAAGATAAATTAATTTGTATTTAATTAATTTTCAAATAAATTAAATTATTTTAAAATTAATTTTTATCACACCCTACAATCAAACATACATTTTAAAAAATTAATATTAAAATCATCTTAAAAACAATAAATTCAAAGAAAGAGAATAAGTATTGAGATTTTTAAAGATAAAAAATAAAAAAAAATCTCATATAAAATTGGAGATTTTTAAACAATAGAATTTTTTCACACATATTCTAACATGAATAAACGTCCAACTTTAATTTTATATTTATTCTCAGATTAAAAAATCCTATTCAAATTCACAAATCTTAATTCAACTAATAAAAAATCAATATTATTATATTAAACATCAACAATAAAATTTAAACTATGAACATCACACTTGTATATGTAAATTTTTAATAATTAATTATTACCAATTCATCTATTTTCATAATAAAAAAAACACTAATTTTAAGTGTACTATATATGGTGTCAAATTTTATTTTATTTTTACAAAACACCAACTTGCATCCAAATAATAACAAAAGTTTGTGGAAAAGAATAACAAGAAAACACAAAAAAAAAATAGTGAACAAAAAAAAAGAGATTATGATAATATACCTTGGGGAAGCACAAAGAAGAACAATCCTCTTGAAAAGTAGAGGTCTTTTAATGGAAGCTAAGCAACCAATCATACCAGACATAGAATGACCAACAAAGGTAACATCTTGAAGCTCCATTTCATCCAACAAACTTATCAAATCATCTGCAAAAGCATCTAATGAACAATACTTCAAAGGGTCATAAAGATTTTCATCTTTAACACAACCAGAAAAAGGCCAATCAAACAAGACAAGTTTGTAGGATTTTTCACTAAAATTAGGTGTGACTTTGTCCCATATTGATTGGTCTGTTCCAAAACCATGAGCAAAAACAATAGTTTCTGTTCCTGATCCTTTGATTCTAGCATTCAGATGAGTTGAAAGAAGATTCTCATGTTGTTCTAACATGTTTGGTTTTGTGTTTGGTAATAATGGTTCCATAAAGAAAGAGAAAGAAAATGAATGCAATAGAAGAAAGGTAGCCACATAAAAGTGTTGGTTTGGAACCTATTTATTTATATCTTTCATAATGTTTTTTTTCTGTCCTTTTTTCTTTCTATTTTTCTTTCTATTTTTGGTAATTTTATTAACAATACTAATATTTAACAAAAAATTATATTTAATATATTTATTTTTAATACAAATTATTTAAAAAAACAATTTTAAATTAAAATATGTTTATGAATAATAAATTTCGTTTAAGTTCGAGAATACACAACTACAAAACACGTAAACAACAACGTAATGGTCATCATAGTTCTTCACTACACCATGGTGACGTCTCAAAAATAATGCGCGTCTTTTCTTTTTTATTTATAAATTTGTATATAACAACGGTTGATAAGCCAACCGTGATAAAACTATCGAGCTTTCATGGGTTCGAACCTCAGTGTCAAGATATATATTATTCTTTTAATGTTAAAATGCATATTTTATTTTTTATTTATTTTTATATAAAAAACTTAAAGGGATATGACTACGGTTGATACGTTCCAACGTTGTGATATATTTATAATAAATAAATGCTTATCAATACGGTTGGAAGAGAACTGTTGTGAAATAATTTACCCATATATAAGCGAATTAACTTTCACTTATTGACAGTAGAGTTGTTTCCTTCACAGCGAACCCTAGCACCTATTTTTTCTCTTCTTCTTTTCCATTAGCCGTGAATCTTGTGCTTCATACGTTAAGGTATTCTTCTTCTTATATATTATTGTTAGATAGTTCCCTATTATCTCGTTTGTTGCATGTTGTTTTTGTTGATTAATTGTTCTCATTTTTCAGATTCGTTTTCACTAACAGCTTAACAAAGACCATACTTTGGCTATGATACATATTGTTTGTGTGGCTATGGAAAAAAGTACAAGAAGCATGAAGCTATGATGGAAACTTCATCCACCTTATACTTATTCTTCATAGCTTCACAAACAATATGTTTTTCATACTCTGTTGACAAATAAGTTTACATTTTCGTATGTTGATAACTTCGGTGGTTATTATAGGACTCAATAAGAACAACACATTTTAGTTAATGAAGAAACAACAACGGCAACAAACTTCATCTAGTTTGAGATATAATGAGAAGAAATATAAGAAGTATGGATTTGTTGTGTAAGCTTCTTCCTCATTATATTTCTTTTTCATTGCTTCACAAACTAGATGAATTTCAGAATTGATTCTTGTTCTATGATTAGTTTCAATAAAAGGCGTGTCCTGGAAATTTATAATATATATCTTTTTCATTGCTCACAAATTTATAATATTTGGTTATGCTGTATGATGTTATTTGAGTTTATTATATTCTTGTAGATTATTTGTTTCACTAACCTCACTTTAAATACATTCATTAATTTCATGTTCTTTTATGTATAGATTATGGTATAATGACATGGCTCCTCAGATGCATCATTGTCTTCTATTATAGTTAAAAAATTTATTAACTATAATTTATTAGATAATCTGTCTCATCATCAACACTGATGATCGTAACAATTATAATTATAAAAATTATGATGATAAGTGATGATGATGAAGTAAATTATTCAATGTCTTGTTGTTATGGAAATTTAACTATAATCGAAGATAACGATGTATCAAAGGAGTTAGAGCAATAAACCATAATATATATGTAAACGAGCGTGAAATGCATGATGAGACAGATGCAATCAGAAAAAATAATGGTTTGTTTAAGTTGGTTTTCAAGAATAGCTTAAATTTTAGATTATAGACTTCTTCATAAATTTGAAAGCTTGTATTTCTTTAGTGAGGTGTATGGAAAACAAACAATCTACATATTATATAATAAACTTTGGACACTTTTCACAACGGTTATATATTGTAACCGTGATCAAAGATCATTTATGATTTACATAATTTGCTGCTGATGGATTTTGAACTCAGTACCTATGTATAAGTATCACAATGGTTTATAAGTATAACCGTTGTGATAAGTGGTGCGTGTCATGCCTTTCAATAACAATTTCCAAAACGTGACAGAAACAACAAACTTACAACCACACCCTACTTAACAACAGTATGACCCATGTGACGGTACCCCTTTTCCAACCACTGTGAAAGGGGTTTTCCGTAGTAGTGACACCTTATATTGCATAGAAGGATCAATTCATAGTTATCGATCATTTTTATTTCGAATCTACCAATATCATGAATTTTGTAAGTCTTATTTTTTGAGTCGAAAAACCTCATCTTCTTTTATCTTCAAAGTTTTAAAATTCTTTTTTTGTACACATGTGATAAGAGTAACCTGGGTCCATAACCTAAATCTTCTCGATTTCTAAATTTGTTACCACTAGTACGCTAACACTTTCATAACCATCTTCAATTTGACTGTACTAATACTATGAACTTTGCAAGCCTTATTTTTTTAGTCAAACAAGTATACCTTCTTTTAACTTTAAAGATTCAAAATATTCTTTTCTTGGACATATATGATAAGAGTAACCTGAGTCCATAACCTAACTCTTCTCTATTTCCAAATTTGTTATCACTAGTGTGTCAACACTTTCATAATAAATTTTTTATCCGAGGAAATTTCAATCTGAACACAATCACTTGTTTTCTCTTTCAGATAAATCCTTCTTAAAGTGGTCGATTTTGTGACAAGTGAAACATTTAAAATTTGACTTATAAAAAAATTTGGACTTTAATTTTGACCTGAATTTCTTTCCTTTCTATTTTCCTCCACTCTTACTTTCTCGTCTTGAGACACTTATGCCTTCACCAATATCCCCAAACTTTAAATCTTTTAACTTTGATAACCCATTTGATCTTACGTGCGTCTGTACTTCATCCAAAGCGATATTTCATTTCTTGCAACAAAGAATGACATGCTTAAAAGGCTCAAAGGATTTGAGTAATGAACTTAACAAGGGTAGAGTCTGATCTTCATGTTTAATTTTCACCTCAATATTTTTCAAATCATCAATGATCTTTCGGATCACTTTGAACAGGTCACACTTGCGTGGATGCAACTAGTTGTAAGTACCAACTAGAATCATCTCCTTACGCAGAAACGCCATCACATCGACTGCCACATAGAAAACTTAAACTTTTCTACATTTATTTTGCATATGATACAAATCGTTTGGTAGTTCAAATGCGGTCAATTCCTTGAAATATTTTAGGATCCATATCACTTCTTCTAAAAAAATTTGTTTCCTCGTTTACATCACTCATCAGCCTTTTAATCACCACTAGATAGAAAAATTCAATTCCTTTAACAAACTCATCAAGCTTTTTTTCACTCTGCGTCATCACTAAGAAGTTAGACTTCTTTCCTCCTAGATTCTCCATGTTGCCTCTATCCACAATCAGATTACACACCTTGTTCTTGATAGATCAGTGTGTTTTAAACAAATTCAGTGTTGCCCTTCATCTTAGAATGATAGTAAAATTATCTGCAACACACAATTTACCCTGTCATCAAAAAAAATTTCTTTGTAAACTTGATAACAGTCGTCATTACATGATTTTACTAGCAAATTCGGATGAAAGCATTAAAATAATGAGAAAAAGTCATGCAATATATGTGGAAGAATAGAGCAATAACTACTAAGAGTTGCAAATATGGGACTTAGAAAAATAACGAAGAAATTATGAAAAAACGAGCATTTTTTAGCATAATTTACATCACGACGTTTGTCTAGTAATTTGATCATATATGGAGTTTCGTAACTCGGATTGAGACGGGATTTTTTTGCAAAACAAATCTAAAAAGGATATCTAGCCTCTAGAATTATCGCTTACCATCGTGGTTGTAGGTGTTTAGGTATTGGCTTGCATTTTTGGTAAACTACAAGTGTATGTGTGAATGTCATGACTGATGTCATAACATTCTAGTTCAGGTTGTACTAGCTCTTTAGGTACATGTGCAGAAAAATATTGTAACTCAAATACTGATGTTTATAAGTGTGTATCTGAGCGTGTTTGCAAAATGATCACATTTTACTAATCAGTAGACAGGTTTTCTCAGATGTCATAACAGATGTTATGACATCCTGTTCTGAACTAGCAGGATTACAGGATTGGATAAGTCTGAGTTTTTTCAGGAAATAACTCAGCCCTTCTTAAACAGAATCCTGCGTTTTCTGAGGAGTAACCTCGCTCAATCCTAACCTGATCAACAAAGTACTGTGACCTGGTCATTAGGTCAAAAGGAATCAACCCTAGGTTTTTGGAAACCCTAACTGAAGTTGCAGCTGCTATATATTCAACAGAGCTGCGGTTTTTGAAGGCATCCCTGCTGATTGATTAGAAGATCAAGTTTGTAATCTGTATAGATTTGTTTATTGTACTCCAAGCAGTTATCGTTGTGATAAGTGTCTTGGAATAGGTTTCAATTGTAAGGGTTGTGTAGCACTCAAAGCTTTGAAGCAAGAGTGTTTGAATGTTGCTTGACTAAAGCTGTGAAGCAGAGTCAAGTTAGTTGTGTACATCACTCAAAGCTGTGAAGCACGAGTGATTGTGTTACTTGATTAAAAAGCTGTGAAGCTTAATCAAGTGTGCGTTTTGAAGAGTGTCTTCAACAATTCTCAAGTCAAATTTGTTTATGTATCACTGCTGTGATTGAGGGGGAGTGAGTAGGAACTCAGGTTTAAGTTGTACTTAGATTAGAATTGCATTGGGTAGGTCTTAAGTGAAGGAGATAAACTGGTTGGTTTATTCCTGAATTAACATCTCTTATAGTGGATTCTCTCCCTGGCTTGGTAGCCCCCAGAGTAGGTGTTGTTGCACACTGAACTGGGTAAACAATTGACTGTGTTATTTACTGCTTTTGTATTTGCTGTCATATAGTAAGTCAGATACGGTGTCATAACATTGGACGTGACATTGAGTATCTGTAGCCAGAATTTTCAATTGGTATCAGAGCAGGCACCCTGCCTGTATTACTGGGTGAGATCTAGGGATATCACTTTCTG